CGCGGCCGAGGGCAGCGCGGGCCGAGTGGAGGCGGCCGCCCCGCTCGGAGCCGCCGCTGCTGCCGCAGGCAGCGCCGCCCGCCCCGCACAAAGTTATTGCGGGGAAGGGGAAAGAAAAGTCTCCCGAAAACACGTCTGCAGCTGCTCGGGAAGGTGTTGGTGGATGAGCCGCACGGCTGCGTGCCCTTCCCAGCTGCTGAGCCCGCTCGTGCTCATGTGCGGCCAGACCGGTGCCAGCYGTGGCAGTGCCCGAGGCGGCCCGTGCTCACCAAGCTGGGCTGCGTTTGGCGCTGCCGTGAGGACACACGGGGYCCTCTGCAGCCTCTAAGGGGCTTGGGGACATCGGTGACCTGGGGCGAGGAGGGGGAGCTGCCCTGGAGCCTACGGCGGGCGGGTTGCCAGCACGACACAGCTCTTGTACCGCTTCGYCAGCCAACTGATAAAGTTTGCACGGTACGAAAGGGAGCCTAGCCACGAGGAAGGTCGTGAGCAGAGGCCAAGGTCTCTGGCTCGAGCGTGGCTGCTCTCAGCACTTCTGTGAGGCAGAAGGGAAAAGGCTCCTCTGCAAAATGACCCTTCCAGCTCCTRCACCCTCCTCTGCAGAAGGAGAAAGAAATTTTGTGCCTTTCCTGCTGCTAAGTACAGCTTTGTTCACATCTCATGAGGACAAGTAGAAACGCATGCACATGGACAACAGAGCTTTTAYGCTCAGTTTAAAGCTGATGGTACAAGTGAACAGTATTTCCTYGGTCCGGTCCTGTTCAACTTATTCATTAATAGCCTGGATGAAGGGCTGGAGTGYTCCCTCAGCAAGTTTGCTGATGATACCAAACTGGGAGGAGTAGCTGATAGCCCTGAGGGCTGTRCTGCCATCCAGAGGGACCTCCCACCTCAGACAAGCGTAGCTTTTCATCTTTATGTTTGGATACAAGCASTTATCTTTCTGTCAAACATAAGAAATGCTTTTAGCTGCCACAGTCAGCTTTTTATTAGTATTTGTGAATATACACTAGAAGAATCACTGCACAGACTGTGAATGATAAGCAGCAAAACAGAGGTGTATGGTAGAGTATATTGGGATCAAAGATGCTAAGACAAGAAAATGTAAGCTCTGAGGAAATCCCTGTTAAATCAGAACCAAAGGCTTTGCCAGGCCTTTTTCACGTGGGTCATGCTGACCATGTTTTAAGTTAGACTCTCTTTCAAACARCTTTCAGGAACAACACAAGACAGAATGAGAGACCCCTTATCTATAAAGCGTGATGCAAACAGTCATTAAACGTTCTTAAATGTGAATTATTTCTTAGAATCAGTAATTTAAGACATCCAGCTTTGTCCAGCACATACCATAATTCATTTGCTGGTGCTTAACTGGATTCACAGGCAAAATGTTTGCAGTGGGGCAAGATCAGTCCTTAGATAGAGAAAGAGAGATCRTGAAACCTTTTAATTATTTTCATTAAATTCTTTTTGACACTATCAGAAATCACAGGGAAAATGCAATAGAGTTTTTGAGATTTTATGTTACTGCTCACAGCTAAGTACTGAAAATTTCCATCACTTTTGGAAGATCCTTTTCATCAAATGGTGGCTTCCTCGGGCTGCCAGGCTGCAAAAATTTCTTTATTGTAGGGATTTTACTTGTTCTTGCTTTAAAACTCTAAAAAACAAAAACAGAACAGCAGTACACTTAAGAACCATGGTTATTATCAGACATTAGGATTATAGCCTTTCTGTCAATTGACGTTGTGGGCTGATCACATAGCGGACTTGTGCTTTGCCCTATTAGGCTTTTGAACCTCATAGAAGAGGTATAAGAAGGTAACAGTAGTTGGTAGTTGAGGCAGGCTAAAACTAGGGATAATTCATTCTGATTTTGTCTTTCCTTCTCTCCCCGCTCCCCTGTTTGTCTTAGCCAGTGTAAATCAATGGCTCCCCTTCTGATTCACTTCATATTACAACTGCATTAAAATTCATATTAAATTACCTGCAGGACAGGAAATTTGGCAAGTATGTCAGCCTTGACCTCTTCTGCCGTTAAAATGATTTCAAGTAATTGCACATCTGCCCTGCTAAGCTGGTTGCCCACAAGGAAGTCTTTTCCATGGTCCTTCAAAGCCTGAAAAGGGAGAACAATAACCACATGTATAAACAATCAATCTGACCACATTCTGACCACATCAGTCCTTCCTATCACACAGATTTTTCTGATGCCTCATTTCTAGCCCTCATCTGTTCACTTCCATAACCCTCGTAGTCAAGACCTCTCTGCTGGAGGCTCAGAGTTACTGAAATACAACAATCACTGAAACTGATCTGAAACGTATTTGGGGAGCTCAGTTTATGCTGTGTCTTTGCAGCTCTGCGTACCTCCCAGATTTGTGCCATCCTCTATCCCATTTGTATTCCCCCAGCCCTGCCTTCTTCAAGACACTGCATGTATATGTAAGTGGTATTTTTTTTTCTGTTTTTCTGAATTATATTTGCATTTATACACCCCAGATGGAGTTTCAGGAAGCCACATTAACWGAGTTGCAACATCTTTGCTACYTACCTTCTCAAAGACTGGGAAATATCTGTTTGTGGCCTTGTCCACTGTATCAGCCATGTATTTCTCCTTTTTATCAGCTGGTTGGAAAGGAGCCATCATGATTAATTCATTCAGATCTATTATTGCTTCCACATACATATCAATTCTGGAAGAAAAGTTTCATTTGGTCAATTTGCAGTAATAACATAGTAAGTACTGTCATAGCCCCAGTTGAGCTATTAGGAACATCTCTCTGCCCAAAACACATAGCATGGAGCAGTACCCAGCAAGTGAAATAGCTTGTGTTTTGAGAGGAGGTAAAAGGCAAGGGCAATATGCCTAAGCAAAACTAAAGTACTACATCCCTTCCATTTTCCACTAGTAGTGGTACTCCTATGTATTAAGAATTTCTACCGTGTATACAAAGTTAGTATACATCATTCAAAACTGTGCTAAAAAAAACCTACAACACACAAATAAAAATCAGAGGTGTTAAACTGTGATTCTGTATAATTCCTACCAGATACCATGAAATGTGTCTGCTCGTGCTAATAGTGGTGTTGTAGACAACACCTGCAGCCAACGTCATTTCACGTAACATAAAAAAAAAATGCCAAATGAGCCTGAATCTAATAGTAAGCTGGGATATTCTTGATGCATTACACAACAAGGCTGTAGGCATCATAGCCTGAAAACAGAGGTAGCATTGATRCAGTACAGGACTCTCTCCTTCAGGTCCTTCCCGTAGAGGTTGTGCTTCGCTGATATGTAGTTGCAAATGGCTCTGGTCTGCACCATCTTCATCCCGTCCATCTCCACCATGGGCACTTGCTGAAACATCAGAAATCCACCTGGAGTAAAGGGGGGAGGATCAGGAGACATTTAGCTACTGGATGAGGACCATTGGTGGGTGTTTGGCAAAAGTGTCTTATGAYCCATGTCATTTGATTTGAGACAGTCTTCCTCAGTCTCGTGTTATGGTATGGAAAAAAGATTTACCATGAAATGAAGAACCATTTCTTGCTCATATGTTCATCCAATATTATAACAAGCAGCTTCTTGAATTTGCTTCAAATCTGATGAAGCCCCCATATGCAGAACTTCTAAGAATTACACCCTGAAAAGGGCAGCTCCTGCACTGCATGGCCCTAAGTCAACTCAACTCGTCAGAGATATATGTCAGAGAAATTGCTTTATGGGATCACATTTATTGTCTTAAATATCTGAAATATTGTGTCCTCCTTGGATCTACTCTAAGGCAAGTGCACATAGAAACTGTTTCCTACCAAGGGCATAATTTTATTTTTATGCTCATGACTATAAATGCTGCTGTGCTTTTTGAAAGCTAGCAGGTGGCAGGAGGATCAATGCATTCTTTTAAGATCCAATCTTGATTTTTTGAAGAGACATAAGACTTCTCAGATTTCTAAGACAAATAGTTCTGCCACTAAAAAGTTAGGCAAACTTACTGTTCCGTAGCTTTTGTAGGTCAGCCCTTGTTTCCACATAAAATTCTTCAAACTGCAGGATATAATAGAGAAGAAAAGAAATATTGTTGCTGCATGTTTCACTTTCTGCATTGCATGAGAYAGCTGAGGACCAGGACTTAGGCWCCTCTCCTCTTCCCTCTTCCATAYGAATCACATTTGTGTCCAGGAAAGACTTTGGCTAAACAACAGGTGCCCAGAAASCACAGAGCAGTCTCTTCTGGACAAGTATGATGGTGCTGCTCCTGTTCTCCCTGCTGGCAAGCACCAGAGCAAGAGATGGTGCAAGGAGAAGGGCGAGTGGTAAGTTCATAGCAGGACTGAGCAAGAGGGWCTTTGCCACAAACTGGAAAGAGGATAGAGGAAGAGAAAGGTTCACATGTCCTCCACAGTTTTCTAACTCATTGCTTGTCACTGTGACAAAACCTCTCAGCTCTTAAACACACAGATCCTTCACACCGTCTCTCCACCTCCAGCTTTAATACCAGAAATAGAGCTGAGAAGAAATACTGCTCCTTTTATGTCAGGCATTACCTTCAAGGGGAAGTTATGTTCTAACAGGCATAATATAAATGCTCTTCTGGATATTGAGGTTCAGCTAGAGGCCTTCACAGTGGAATGTGTACAACCTCTATGATCAGAAGGTGGAGACTGCTCCTGAGGTTATAAAAAAATTATTTGACTAGCTATAGGGGGATGATCTCGTAACGCTGACTTGGTCATCATTGTGCACTGCTCTAAGCACAAAACTTGCAACTGCTGGACAGTCACAGTTTTSATAAGKGTCAGGAAAAATATTTCTCACATGCTCTTAGCATAAAGAAGAAAGCAGACCTCAACTCCAGCTGCTGCTAGTAGCCACCGAATTGTCTCCATTCGGCCTCGACCATTGAAGTAGTAGAGCTTGGGTTTCCCAGMCATGTTTCCAGGCACCTGACTTCCTACTGTTGAGGATAAAGAATAAAATTTTGCAGAATAAGGATTCAGAATGTTGGATTTTAGTCTGCAATGGGTTGTCAATCATCATTCAAAGCTGTCTCATCTGAAACCAAYGATTTTTGGTCCCGGACTCCCATCAGATTAACAGAGGAGTTCAAACAGGTTGAATCATTCTGCCTTAAGATGCCTTTATCCATACAGTTTATATACATCCCTGGGAATGGGAGATCCACCCCAGAGTGAAAGCAGATTTTGATTTCACAAAAAAAAAAATCAAAAAAAAGCTCTATAGTGAACACTCCCACTCTCCCAAAGTATTCTGCTCTTACCAAAGAGCAGAGCGTGCAATATGTACAGCTCTGCTTATTTTGACTTCTCCAGTAATATTACATTGACTGACAGTTTTATTGTATATTTCTGGATTTTGTTTGTTTGTTTATTTGTTTGCTTTTTCCTTGAAATTGTGCTGCATCAAGCATTTCTAAGAGATCAGTCAGTTCRTAACAGTAGTTCAAGTTTTATCAGTAGAGTCAACAGTTAAAGAATAAACRCAGATGGAATGTGAAGCAACAGCTCGTTCTGGGYACACTCCATTAGGAAACAGTTCATGCACATSAGCAGCAAATGCATAGACAGGATTCAGTTTTATCTTACTTTCACAGCTAAAAACACAATGCCACCGATAAAACTGAAGTACTAAAGCAGTTAAAAATACAATGGTCTACAAAAAGCATATATTCCTCTTGTAAATAACACATAAGCTTCTCTGAAGTAGGAAGAAGGCAGTAACAGGAAGCACTCCTCACATTTCTGAGATCAAAATATACGTGTTTTTAATCATTACTCCTCGCAAGCAGATACTTTAAAGAGAACTTCCCATGCACATTGCCATGTTTGTAATGAAAGCAACTACAAGTATTTAACCCATTAAGGCACCAACTTTTCTTTCAAGTATATTAATACTCTGAGCATGTCTAAGATCCAGAAAGCTTACCTTGTACAAAGTGTAACTCGCTCTAAGCTCGCACTAGTTGTGTCCTGAATTTATATAGCCCAGTAGCCCCTCCTACAGAGGGAATTGCATCCAATTCTCTGCAGATAAGAAACTTYTGTTTTTTAAAGAATTAATTGTGTTTCATCACTATGCACAAACAGAAAAGAAATTTCTCAGTAAGTTTACATGTAGGACTCAGTAATTCAAGATCTGTTTGAACATATGAACATGGTAGGAAACTTTGATGTCTTTTAATTTCACTAGTTAGGATTTTGGTACTTAAAAATAATCAACATAGCTAAAAGACTCCTCAGATTTAAAAAAAAGCTATTACAATTGTAAACAATTTTTTTTACTTAAATATGTTATGATTTTGTACTTCTTACAAATTGGCTCTTTACTGATCAACTAATTCAGCTTGAATCATATAGAAACTTCCTTCCCCTCTCTACTGGTTGGGGATACTTCTTCTGGACATTTATCCCTGCCTAACATTGATTCATGTGSTAGATTTCATTCCTGGATGTAGAAAATTTAGCTTTTTTCTGTTTCCATCAAAGATAATTCCCTGAGTTTGACCTGGTGAAAATTCATGGTACTGAAAAATCAAGGTGATAGTAACAGAAGAGCAATACCAATAAATAAAGGCTGTCCTCTGCACTTCTGGCAGCTTGCTTCTGATAATTGTATTTACTTTAAGGAGTAAATAAATGATTAACTCTCTTGCATCCTCCTGCCTATCTAATCTAGAYGGTCAATAATGCTGTAAACATCCCTTYTATGCTAAGTCTACACGTGYTACTTTGAAATCTGCTGAATCACCCTGAATCTTATAGTAAGTTGGAATATTATTCTTGCATTACTCATCAGGGATGTGTGAATTCTACTCTATCAAGAATGGCATTGTTAAAGTATAAGGCCTCCTCCTCAAGGTCTTTCACATAGAACAGAATGTGCTGTTTAGGTGCTTTGCTGCTACGTAGCTGAGCGTGATCCTCTCCTCATCCCTTTCYACCACCAGTGCCTGTTAGACCAACAGGTTCCATGCTTGGCAGTAAAAAAAAAAAAAAAAAAAGCAAAATTACGCAGAACTGGATCCACATAAGAAGAATTCATTGACRTGGTCACCAAGGCAATGTCTTGTCTTTTAGGAGGTGCCTCATCCCAAATAATAGCTTGCAAGCTCAATAAAACCTTCCTCTGTATGCCCTACTGTGCCAGAGGAGAGCCAAGTCCCCCAGAAGAAGACTCTTTACTGATAGCATATCCTGTAGCCTCTGYTTTACGATTCAGGCTATTTCCTTTATTTCTTACCTTTGTCCTTTTCTTACATTTTGGAAAGTTCTCTTCCAGCTCTTAATGCCTGCAGAGGGATTCAGTCACCAAACCAGAGGTGCCCATGACACCTGGAGTGTTCTCAGGCATCCCACTGACCTCCAGCTGCAGAAGAGTGGGATCCTGAGTTACCTCCCACATTCCACCAGCACGGAGCCTCAGYGTCCCAGCAGCATCATCCCAGGTAGCACCAGGCACATAGAGTAGTGTAATGGAAACACCTTGTTGGTATCACTTGTCAAGAACACGCTTCCTGAATTTTGTTTGCTGTTATGGTCCTGACTGTCCTGAATTTGTTGGGGTAATGAGTATAAATTAAAAAACTGGAAGTTCAGTCTCCTTGTGAGGAAGAATTTCTTGCCTGTGAGGATGGCAGAGCTCTGGAACAGCCTTTCCAGAGAGGTTATGGAGTCTCCTCTGGAGATCTTCCAAATCCCATGGATGTGAACCTGTGTTACATGCTCTAGGTGTCCCTGCTGGAGCAGGGGGATTGGACTAGATCATCTCTAGGGATCCCTTCCAACCTTAATCATTCTGTGATTMCCCCCAAGACGATTTACCATTCTGCAGTTTGTTATCAGCACAGATGTTCCCAATAGAAAAAAMATATCTAGGAAGTTTTACACAGTCTAGAATAAAAATCAGGGACTCAGATTATCCTTGTACTGACCGGTACACTGATGTGTGTCTGGTACTTTTACACAAGTCCAAACTTACTTCCTTACGTAGCCCGACTAGATTAATCATTTGTAAGACTGACCAAGATTAAGCTCAGAACCATAGTAAATAATCCAAGGTCTAGCAATGACTCTTGGGTGACAATGACTCAGGGATTTAATGCCATATCAGAGCAMTGCAAGATAAGAAAACCTGAGTTTGATTAAGAATATTGATCCTGCCATGGACAACTTGGGTAAGACTCATCTACCTCCACTTTGTAGAAACCTACATTTAATCTAGTTGCTGGTCTTCTTTAAATATGCATTTTTCACAGAATCACACAATCACAGGATTGTTAAGGGACCTCTAGAGATCATCTAGACCTCTAGAGATCATTTATATCCAGGTAAGAAATATCCAAGCTAAATCCAAGAGTATGCACTCAAAAAGCAGATGGATGCTACCTCAACTGAGGTAAAGAAAGTTTTGTTTGGTAGAAACCAGCCCTCTCAAACCTCCATCTTGAGTAGGGGAGAGAAGTAAGAATCTTCAGAGCCTAATTCATCCCATCACTGAAATTTCCCATTCTTGACTCCATCAGAGGTTTCTTCAAGATCCTAGGCAAGTCCTTTTCAACATAGAAGCATTCTAAACAGCAGAGAAAAATCAGGACACTGTCTGCCTCCTTATTTAGTAGGACTTTTCTAAAATATTATATGAGTTCTATGAAGTGATATTTTCAAAATGCTGTAGAGGTGTCATAGAATCATAGAATGCTTAAGTTTGGAAGGGACCTCAGAGGTCATCTAGTCCATCCCCCCTGCTCACACAGGGTCACCTAGAGCACGTGGCACAGGGCTGCATCCAAGCGGATTTTAAAGATCTCCAAAGAAGGAGACTCCACAACCTTTCTGGGCAGCCCATTCCAAGGCTCTGTCACAGGGCTGCATCCAAGCGGATTTTAAAGATCTCCAAAGAAGGAGACTCCACAACCTTTCTGGGCAGCCTGTTCCAAGGCTCTGTCACCCTCACTGTCAAGAACTGTTTCCTTAAGTTCCTGTGGAACTTTTGGTGCCTCAGTTTGTGGCCATT